CCTGTCTCCAAAAAAAAAAAAAAAAAAAAGATTTTGGGAAGGCTGGGGGATAGTGACTCATGCCTGTAATCCCAGCACTTTGGGAGGCTGATGCTGGAGGATCACTTGAGCCCAGGAGTTCAAGACCAGTCTGGGAAACACAGTGAAACCCTGTCTCTACAAAAAATAAATTAGCTGGGTGTGGTGGCACCTGCCTCTACTCCCAGCTACTTGGGAGGCAGAGGTGGGAGGATCGCTTGAGCCCAGGAGGTCGAGACTGCAGTGAGCTATGACTGCACCACTGCATTCCAACCTGAGCGACAGAGAGAGATCCTGTCTCAAGAAAAAAAGACAAAAGATTTTGGGGAGCCATGAATGACAGATGCCAATTATATATACTTTCCTAGGTTTTCCATTCTTATGGGATTAAATGTCTCTGTCACTGTAGTTTTAATTTTCTATTAGCTTTCCTTTCTTGTATGTTCTGTTAATGCTTAGGCAGTTTTTTAAAAAGCAGAGACGAGGTCTCACTATGTTGCCCAGGTTGGTCTTGAGCTCCTGAGCTCAAGTGATTCTCTTACTTTGGCCTCCCAAAGTGCTAGGATTACAGGCATGAGCCACAGTGCCTGGCCATCAATGCTCAGTCAGTTTTAGACATTGCAAATTCCTTTTTCTAATCAGGCTTCCATATGTTAGTTTTGTCTATGGTATTCTTTATTGATTGATTGATTGAGACAGGATCCTGCTCTGTGGCCCAGGCTGGAGCACAGTGGCATGAACATGGCTCGCTGTAGCCTCAACTTCCTGGGCTCCAGTGATCCTCCCAGACTCTCTCCAGTAGTTGGGACCACAGGCATGCGCCACCATGCCAGGCTAATTTTTGTATTTTTGGTAGAGACAGGGTTTTGCAATGTTGCCCAGGTCGTCTCAAACTCCTGAGCTCAAGCAGTCCAATCACCTTGGCCCCACAAAGTGCTGGAGTTACAGGTGTGAACCACTGACCTGGCCTTGTCTACAGTATCCCTTAAATAGAAATTCTTTTTGCCCCTGAGTGGCCATAATAAGTTAATTTTTTACCTACGGTAGGTCCTTTGGAGTGCTGAGTTGTATTAATTAGATTTTTTTTAAAAATAAATTTTATTGTGTATATTTAAGGCATACAAGAAGATGTTATGAGAGCTATGTAGATGGTAAAATAATTACTGTAGTGAAGCAGAGTAACATATCCATCATCTTATATCAGCACTCATTTTTTTTGGCAAGAGTAGTTACAATATACTCATTTAGCAAAAATTCCCAATATGATACACTATTAGTAACCAAAGTCCTCATGTCTGGATCTTTAGATTTGTCCATCCTACATATCTGCTATTTTGTGTCCTTTGACTCACATCTCCCCATTTCTTCCTCCCACCTTACCCCTGGTAACCACTGTTTTATTCTCTATCTCTGTATATTTGCCTTTCTTTCTTTTTTTCTTTTTTAAGATTCCACATATAAGTGAGATTACACGATATTTGTCTTTCTGTATCTGGCTTATTTCAGTTAGCATAATGTCCTCCAGCTCTGTCTACGTTGTGTCAAATGGCAGGATCTCCTTTATAAAGCCTAATTAATATTCCACTGTGTATACATACCACAGTCTCTTTCTCCATTTGTCCATTGACAGACATCTAGGCTGTTTCTGTATCTTGGCTATTGTGAATGATGCTGCAATAAACTTGGAAGTGCAGATATCTTTATGAGGTGATGATATCACTTTCTTTGGGTATATGGCCAGTAATGGGATTGCTGGATTATAAGGTAATTTTATTTTAAATTTTTTGAGGAACTTCTATATTGTTTATTATAATGGCTAAATGAGCTTATATTCTCACCAATAGTGTACAAGCAAGGTTCCCTTTTCTCCACACCAACACCAACACTTGTAATCTCTTGTCTTTTTGGTAATGGTCACCTTAACAGATGTGAGGTGGTATCTCATAGTGGTTTTGCTTTGCATTTCCCTGATCATTAGTGATGTTGGGCATCTTTTCATACATCTGTTGACCATTTTTATGTCTTCTTTGGAGAAAGATCTATTCAGGTTCTTTGCCCATTTTTAAATTGGATTGTTTGTTGTTTTTGCTATTGAGTTGTATGTGTTTTTAAAAGGCATTTTGGATATTAACTCCTTATTAGATATATGGCTTACAAATATTTTTCCCTGATTTGTTGGTTGCCTTTTTTTTTGTTGTTGTTGTTGATTGTTTGCTTTGCTGCACAGAAGCTTTTTAGTTTGATGTAGTCCCATTGATTTACTTTTGCTTTTGTAGCCTGAGTTTTTGGTGTGGTATCCAAAAAGTCATTGTCAGGGCCAATGTCAAAAACTTTTTCCTGTTTGTTTTCTTCTGGGAGTTTTATGGTTTCAGATCTTACGCTTAAGATCTTTTATCCATTTTGAGTTGAATTTTGTGTATGGTGTAAGATAAGGGTCCAGTTTCATTCATTTGCATTTGGAAATCCAGTTTTGAATATAAATTCTTAATTTTTATATAGTGAAAACATCAAGTTTTGCCTTATAGTTTGTGCCTTTTAGGTCTTTCTTATGAAAGCTTCCCTGAATCTAACCCCAGGTATTAAATATATGATTGTAATTTTTTCTATAGGTTTTATAATTATATCTTTCGGATTAAGATCTTTAATTCACCAGGAACCCACCTCTGCATATGGGTGTGGTGGGAATCCAACACCATCCACCCCCTTTTAAGAAGTTAGTTTTCTCAACAATCATTTACTACACATGTTCTTCTTTCTACACTGACTTGTGGTGACTTCTCTGCCACAAACCAAGTTTTTGTACACATGTGGGTCTATATCCAAGTTCTCTATTTTGGTTTATGATGCCAGCACTTTACCTTCTTATTACTATGATTTTTGGGTTTTCTGGTGAGATACATTCTTCTTGGCTCATCTGGGATCTGTGGAAGGGTGAGTAAAAGCAAATCTCTCTGTCCTTTTCTTCGGAGTCCCTAAGCTCCACAGTAGTCAAAATGAAAGAAAAATACTGGGCCTCTGACAGCCAGTTAAAAGTGACTAACGTGGCTGCTGGACTTAAGACACGGAGGATGGCCAGAAGATGAAGAGGGCAGAGACATGGTGGGACAGGACGACCAGCTGCAGAGAGGAGTACCCTCTCCGCTGACAGCTGCAGAGACGACCAAGGGGCAGAGAGGAATACCCTGTCTGCTGAGAGCTGCAGAGATGACCAGTGTGCAGAGAGGAGCTACCCTGGCTGCTGAGAGCTTCAGAGACCTGCAGAGACCTCTGAATGACTTGCCTGCAGACAGGGGCCATCCTCTCCAGGCCTCCTCTGCTGACAGCTGAGCACTCAACGGAGGACCTGCCTATAGAAAGGAGCTGCCCACTCCTCTGAGCTGTTCTAACACTAAATAAAACTCTTCTTCTTCTTTACCCACTACTTGTCTGTGTACCTCATTCTTCCTGGACACAGGACAAGAACTCGGGCAAAGTGCCGTGGCCACAGAGGTTTTCAGTCAGAAAAATCGACACCCCAGATATCCTGTAACATCTTTTAAAAAATTACGATAGTAATTTCGGAACTTTTATTCTTCCTTTTAAATTTATTGCATTCCTAAAAAAGGACAGTTGGAATTTGATTAGGACAACAATTGTGGTAATAGTTGGGTAGAATTGATACTTTTATATTAAGTTGTCCAATCCAACAACATAGATTATTCTGTTTATTTTGATCCTCTTTTATCTCCTTTATTAGAGGGTAAAAATTTCCTTTACAGAGGACTAGTGTATTTTTTTTTCAGGCATTTTATAGCTTGTGTTGCTATTATGAAAAGTATCCTGTTTTCTTATATGTATATATGTCTTATTTTCTCCTATATATTATAGGTGGTTATTGTGGTGCAGAGAAAGTGTTATTGATCTTTGTAAGTTGACCTTACATCCATCTAGCAGCCCTGTTATTAGTTTTAATAATTAGTTGAAATTTCTATGTAAATTTTCATGTAGTCCACAAATAACATTTTAATCTTTTTCCTCCTTCCAACTTCTACACCTCCCATTTCTTTTTCTTGTTTTATAACATTGGCCCTGACTCTGGCTCTTCGTTACATAGTAGCAATACTAACAGGCGCCTTATCTTCTTGACAATCTAAATGGGGATGTTTCTAACGTTTCTCCATTGGATGTGATATTTGCTGGAGGTTTTGGTATGTGGTCTTTAAAAGTTGAGGTGATTCTATTCAAATTCCAGTTTTCTGAATTACTCTTTGGCTGTTTGCCATGAAGGGCTGCCTGTCGCCCATGTCCTTGGCCTGCAGAGCACAGTCAGGCTTCCACCACGCCAGCACATGCACCTCCGTGACTTAGAGGCTGGTGGCTTACAAACAGGATGTCACTCCTCCCGGGAAGCGTCCTCCACCACTGTCCTGGAGGGAGATAGCTCTGCCCAGGTGGAGGAGAGTGGTGACGCCCTCCTGTGACACTCAGACATCCCGTGTCCACCTGTGACCTGTGGTACACAGGCGGGAGGGGTCACTGAGAGAAACGACATTGGCTGTGAAACAAGGTGACTTGGCCTCAAAGTTGGGACCTGCCACGTACTAGCTGTGTGACTGTGAACAATTTATTCTAAACCTCAGCTTCCACATTTGTAAAATGGGGAATCTAACTGTCCTTGGGGAAGCCACGTGGTAGTTTGTTAAATAAAATAGCCAGCGAAAAGTATTTAGCAGAGTAGTAACTGTCCGCTATCGTATTAGTAATCCATAAATGAATATCATTAACATGTTACAAGCAGGGTAAATGCTCTTGATAAGAAGTTAAGCAAAAGCTATATATAGACTAAGTCGACATTTGTTTTAAAATTTGCATAAGTAAAAGACTGAGGAGAAATAGATTGAAATGGGGGATGGTAGGTGATTTCTAACAGTCTCCTTTATATTTTTATGTGTTTTCAAATTTTTCTATAGTGAGCACATGATTACCTCATAAATCTCTGAAACATGTTTTATGGAAACAGAAAGCCCAGTGTGACTCAGCAGTGCCAAGGCTGCCAAGAGAGCTGGCGGCAGCCCAGCCGCTTCAATGGAAACAGCGCCCGCACCTGGAGGTCCTGGGCCTGCCGCCCTGGGCCCTGGCTGGAGCCTAGCTACCCCAGCAGTTTGTTTAGCTCTGGGCATAGGTAGCCATGGAGACCCTGAGTGCCACGGTGGAACAAGAACGTGGCGAGTGGGCGAAGGCCACAACATCTACAGGACAAGAGGGCTGAGAAAGCCAGGAGGGGTGATGTGGGATGGGAAGAAGCAGGGAGCCCCCTGCCTGGTAGGGGTAGGGGGGTGGCAGAGAGAGGCTAGAAGAAAGAGGGACAGAGACAGACAGAGAAAGAGAGATGGAGAGAGAGATGGAGAGAGAGGAGGAGATGAAGGAGAAGGAGGAGGAGGGAGTCCCAGTGTGAGGAGGGGCTTCTGCTGTGGCCGTCTGACCTCAGGGCCCATCTATTGCTTTCCCTGTGCCTGGCCCCAGCATGTTCTGGGCATTGCCCTCTCCGCTCCACCACAGTGTTCCTACAGGTCCGTCCATTGCCCCATGGTCCATGGTCCTGGGCCCTGAGATATCTTTCTGGGGAGTCTGCAGACTGGCCTGGGAATAGAGACTCTCTCTCAGGCTGCAGGGCCTGCAGTGTCCTCAAAGGCCATGGCCCTCCAAGTGGAAAAAGGTGAGAATGAAATCAACCAGTTCAGGCGTGAGTGCCCGGCCAGCTCCTCCCAGAGGGAGGGGTCTGCCCTTCTCCAGGGTCTGGTTGTTGAACATTCCTTCACTGGGCTCGACTCCCAGGCATCTTGGCAAAATCATCTCCTTTTTCTTGATCTTGTTCAAGTTGAAGTTTTATCACTCGCAACCAAAAAGGTCCTGAGTAACACAAAATCACTGGTAAAGGTCCTGAGTAACACAAAATCACTGGTATCAGTGGGAAAGGGGGGCCTGAAGGAGAGGCTCCATGAGAGGGTGGCCTGGGAAAGACATTGTAAAGGTGTGGCTCCTGGGGGTGGGGGTGGGTGATGGGGCCCCCACTGCCTGTGCTGGGTGCGCACATGCTCTGTTTCTCTGTCTCTCTCTGAGTCTCTGTGTCTCTCGCTCTGAGTTTTTGTCTCTGTCTCATTTTCTCAGCTCAGTGGAGACGTTGGCCCCCTTTCCGAAGCTCCCTATTTTGCCCTGTCTCCTTCACTGTCTGCTGCTGACCCGCTGCTAATACGCTCTGCCCCAGCAGCCTCCCTACCCTGCAGCCCACCTGTTCCTGTCCATCCACGACCACTCCTGCAGGCTCAGGAACAAGCTGGGCTTTGACACATGCCTTCGACTCCTACCCCCTCGTTAACGTTTCCCAGCCCCACCCCGCAGTCCAGCTGTCCCACCTGGGTCCCGATTTGGAGGGTGGCAGTATATCTGTGCCCAAGCTTGAAGCCCCCTCCTTCCTTAGGTGTGTCCTGGAGTCTCTGAGCTCTGGTGCTTTAACCTCCGGGGTCCTTCCTGGATGTGCCTCTTCTTTCAAAGCCTCCTACCTTGGCCCTGATTTAGACTCCTATCATCTCTTGTATGAAGATTTTCTGTCTCCTGCATGATTTCTCTGTTCTTATTCCTCCCTAATCCACCCCCCACCCTGCTGTCATCATGGCAAGCTCACGGATCTCTTCGTGCCATTGCCATGCAGAGAGTCCTGCCAAGGCCTCACCAGCTGTGCAGTAAACCCCAAGGTTGGGCCCTCTCCAGGCTCAGCCGGGCAGCTGCCCACCTGCCACATTTTACTCTAAGCACCCTGGACTATTGCAGCTCCCGGCACAGAATGCAGTGATGCTTCTCAACTGTGTGCCTTGATCAAGCTATCACCCTTGGTCGGAACGCCCCCTCCACAGCTCCCCAAGCCTGGCTCACTCTGATGCATTGGACCTCTCCCAGACCCTCCCCTCGTCATACCCCAGAGAGGTAACCTCTGCATTTACACCACAATTTCTAGTTACTTTCTCATGAATCAGTGCTTCCCACTAAGCAGCAGGGGCCTTGAGGACGTGGGGCCTCTGATTTCACCTGTTTGTAGTGTAGTCCAGATATTTAATACACAGGGACTCAGGCCTCATGAAACAAGAAGGGGACGGGCCGAGGCGGCCTGGGCCGGGCCCCGGGGGCTGTAAGGGTGAATGCAGTGCATGTGCAGTGTGGCTGGGGAAGGAGCTCAAGTTTGCTCTGCAGAGGCCTGGCTGCAGCAGCAGCCCTTTGATCCCCGAGTTACAGACCTTGTCCTGGGCCAGTTCTTCCTGCTCTGAAGCTGGGGGCAGGGACACTATCACAGAGTAAGGCCAGAGTGGACTCTAGAAAAGTGTCTCTAAACTAGGAGACTCCTCCATCCCACCCAGAGTCCACGAGCAGGCTAGGGTCCCCTCCATCCAGAAAGAAGGTGCCCTCCCCCCAGCAACTGGAAACATCAGAGTCGACTGGAAATCCAGGTTTACCAAGGGCCTGCTCTGTTCCAGATCCCCGAGGTGCAGGTTCTGGAGGTGTAAAAATGAGCCAGGGGCTTTCAACCCAGCGAAGCAGAGAGGCAAGTGAGGCCAGGGGTGAGAGCAGCTGGGTAAGCACAAGGAAGAGGCCCCAGGTACCCGTAAGTGCTCCATGGCACAGAGCCTGGGTTCTGACCGGAGAGAGACAGAGTAAGTGCAAGCGCATAAGGGCATGGGGTGATTCCCGACTGTGACAGTGAGGGCAGAAGACAGGGCTGTGGGGGCCGGGTCGCCGTGGAGAAAGTCTCTTTGGGAAGTGACATTTGAACTGGATGCACTGGGTAAAAGGCCAGGAGAGGCAGACACAGAGGAATCAGAAGATGCAAGGCCCTGAGGTGGAAACAAGTTTTGGTGTGGCTGGAAACGGGGATGTCATAATTTTGTCAAAGTAATGCTGCCCAGGCCAGGTGCAGTGGCTCACACCTGTCTCCCCAGCGCCTTGGGAGGCTGAGGCAGGAGGATCACTGAGCCCAGGAGTTTGAGACCAGCCTGGGCAAGATAGTGAGACCCACACTCTAAAAAAAAAATTAGCTGGGCGCGGTGGCTCATGCCTGTAATCCCAGCACTTTGGGAGGCCGAGGCGGGCAGATCACAAGGTCAGCAGATTGAGACCATGGTGAAACCCCGTCTCTACTAAAAATACAAAAAATTAGCCAGGCACGGTGGTGGGCGCCTGTAGTCCCAGCTACTCAGGAGGCTGAGGCAGGAGAATGGCGTGAACCCGGGAGGCGGAGCTTGCAGTGAGCCGAGATCGCACCACTGCACTCCGACAGACGGAGACTCTGTCTCAAAAAAAAAAAAAAAAAAAAAATTAGCCAGGCATAGTGGTGCACATCTGTAGTCCCAGCTATTTAGGAGGCTGAGGTGGGAGGATTGCTTGAGCCCAGGAGTTCAAGGCTGCAGGAGTGAACTGTGATTGCACCACTGCACTCCATCCTGGAAGACAGAGAGAGACTCTGTCTCTAAAATAATAATCATAATAACAAACAGCTCTCAAACTGAGTGCATCATGACAACCAGTGTTAATTACTTTCATACTCACAGGTCTCAGATGACTGTAATTTGGCTGATCCAGGATAGGTGTGGCTGGATGACCCTGCCCTAGGCTGTAGGTAGCCTGGGTTTTACGCGAGTTCAGGTGGTTGCACCGAGTTCATCCTAGGGCACAGCTGAGGCTCTCTGGAGGAAGCTCTTCTTACCCTGGACTTCAGGAGTGCAAACAAGGAGCCAAGCCATGAGAGCGCATGGAGTACTTCTGCTAGTTCCATCCTCCAACATCTCCAGGGCCAAAACATGTCAGATGGTCAAGTCCAACATCAACGAGCAAGGAAGTCTGTACAGGAGAAGTGTGAGTATTAGCTGAATAGTAATAACCCAGACTCTCACCCGCCACCTCAGAGAGGAGCTGTGAGGACGGAGGGAGTCACTGCCTGGTTTGTGCACACGGTGAACGCTTACCCCATGCTGACTGATATGTGGAGAATGTAGCTTACCCCATGCTAATTGAAACGTGGAGGATGTAGCTTACCCCATGCTAACTGATATGTGGAGGATGTAGGGATGGGTCAGATTCTCAAGGTCTTGATAAATCACGTTGAAAATTTTGGGAGCCATGGAGGCTTAAATCAGAAGGGTGACAGGGTTTGATTTGGTTTTTAGAGCAACCCCTCTGGAAGCCACGTTGAGGTTGGTCTGATGGAGGCGAGACTAGGGTCTCAGGGTGATGAGCAGTAGGACATCATGGGGAAGGAAAGAAGGAACGAATTCAGGAAACGCTGGGAAGGTGGAACCCAGGGGTAGATGGCAGAGAGGTTGTGTGGAGGGAAGCAGTGCCTAGGCTCTCGGTTCTTGGCTTGGGTCAAGGGATACGATGATAGACCTTGGGCTGGGGAGCACAGGAGGAAGGGCTGACCTGTGTGGGGTAGAGGAGGTGATGAACCGGCTTAGAGATGTGGAGTATGAGGTTCTTACAGGACATTTAGGTAGAGGCACAGGTCTTGGAGTGTAAGAGAAAAATCTGGACACGGGACATATATTTGGGAGTCAAATCAGTTAAGGGGCAGGCAGGAAGCAGACCCCAGTTATTGAGGTTTCCAGGGAATGAAAAATATGCTGGGTTGGCACAGAGAAACTCCAGTGGCGCATATTAACATGTGGCCGATGTCGCCGTGAGACAGCCATCCTCACATTCTTCTTCCAAACTAAAGCCTGAAATTACGTGGAGGTAGCAAAGCCCAACAAAAGAGCCCGGCCTCCAGCCTCCACGGCTAAGGCTTGGCCAATGAGTTGTAAGAAGAAGTGATGTCTGTGAATTCCGGCAAAGCACAGTGAAGGTGTCCATACCCTTCTCTGTCCCCTACTCCATCCTACTGCCTGACTTGGATGAGATGGCTGGAGCTCTGGCAGTCACCATGGACTAGGAGGCTGGGGACCACATCCCAGGTGGAGGCCGTGAGGAGGAAGGAGGCTGCATGCCCTGGGCCTTTATGGGGCCCCTATGCCACTCAGGACCGTGTTTACAGAGAAACACGACTGTCTCTTGTTGAAGCCGCTGTGAATACACTTTTCTGTTCCATTCAGCTGAACTAGGTTCACAGGAAACCACTGTGAGTTTGCAGTTCTTGGTCAA